AACCGATGGCTAACCATCCGGGGCAACTTGGGGGTTCAGTGTCTTGCCCAAGGACACTTCGACACGTGGACTGCAGGCACCAAGACTCAAACTTCCAACCCTCCGGTTGGGAGACAACTGCTCTACCCACTGAACCACAGTCACCCTCCCCCACAATCTATCTGAATGTAAACGCTTCTCTGCTCCATTCCTCCTGAGCTGCAGGAAGACAAAGCGGTTGCTTCCGCAGCAGATCAATAGATGAGAAAGACGAACCACAAGATTAAAGTAGCAGAGGGAAAAAATAGAGAGGCAAGCCAAAGAGAGGAGGGAAGGAAGAGGTGGAACAGGATGTGGAGAGAGGAAAACAATGACAGACTAAAACTATATATGTACACAGACACTCACATGCATCATCTCAGAAGAGTATTGATTTAAGTGTACTTGTCATTTGATAATATTGCATTTTTGATATCACTTTCTTGTCTAACTGCAGACTTGCTTTGGAAAGATAAAAAGACAGTGTAGAAAAACAGAATGAGAGAGAGACGAAAAGAAAGAACACAAGGAGTGAAGATGAGATGAGAAGAGAATAGAGAGGAAGGGAGAGAGACAGGCAGTGGTGACAGTGATGGAGAGCGAGCGGACTCCTGGGAGAGCAGCAGAAGCGAGTCCATCGATCCAGGACAGTGAGCTGGCTCACATTTCACCTCCTCAGCAGTAACAGCAGCGCTCTGCCATGGAACTGAGCCCTATATCCCGTCTGGACAGGGTCACCTCCACACTATACGTGTCTGTCTCTGTGTGCACAGACAGGAAAACAGATCTGGAAAAAGAGATGTCTGTAATATTTAGTCTTGAATATTATAGATCAGTGACTGTCTATCAGTGGTGCATTAAAAGTTTTTTAGGATCTTGATATGCATTAATCAAAATGCAAGAACAAGGAGAACAAAACTTTGACTAAATGATATTTTTGGTATGACAGACCATGACTCTGTCCTCAGATACTTTACAATAAAGGGCTTCGCAGCCAAAGTCACACACCGTTCTCATCAGGGAGAACTGATAGTACGAATGAATCATGCCCATCCGTGAGGGGGACTGGGCTCCACCTCAAAGCCATCCACTGTCACCTGAGAGGGCCAAGCCGTGTGACAGACGACCGAGCATGTGGCATCTCCCTGACCCCTGACCCAGAAACCTTTCCCTTATCTGCCTCTGCTGTGGCTAACGGATGGCCCAGAATCTCGTTGACCACTAGCAACTGGGGCTCTTTTGTGTGAGTGGTCATTCACACCAGAAGGAGAGTCACACAGGGGTCAGCTCAGAAACAGGTGACCTTTGACCCTCTGGTGCAGGCTGTAGGCTGTGGTATGTTGGTAGGGTGTGTAGAAGGATTGATAAGATTGAGACTTGTGGACAGATGATAGATAACACTGATACAACAGTGTAATGAAAAGTACATGTATGATAACAGACCACACAGACAAGATAAAAGCATTATAGGATCAACGCTCTCATTGATAACATGCTTACAAAAATATTAGGGTATACTATTTAAGTTCTTTTTAGAGCTGCATTCAAGTTCAGTTTTATTTTAGCCCTGGTCTGGGTCCCCTTTTCAGGCTTGATGCCCGACTTTATTCTCTAAATGTTTATTTTAGATTTCTGGCTGGACAGGTAGTGTCCAGTTTTTTACCACTGAGTTGCTAAAAGCTCAGTGCGGTTTGTAGTACATGTAGTAGTACTAAGCATCCCTTTCCAGGGTTTCTGTGGGGTGCACCAACTCTCAAAAAAAGTTAATACTACATACAATGTAATCTGATATCTGTGACATGGTCATAGTGTCATTATTTACCAGACAGTAATTTACTGTGGAACTGTATCACATTTTTGTAATACTTCTCAGCAGTATAGCGATAGCCCTTAGTATAATTAATGTACATTATATTTATACTAAATTAATTATTAATGAATGAAAATTCTTCTAAAAGGTCCACATATGAACTTCACGTAGGATCAGAGGTGTGCAACAATAATTCCGGGCATTTTATTAAAATTACATAGAAAAAAATATTTCAACTGACAGAGGAAAAATATGTCAAACCTTTGAAAATTAAATGTAAAACTCTTTGCTGCTCTTCTTTTGCCATGAACACTGTAATCAGGACCTGCAGATATTCCACATTGGATAGGAAGTTTATTAAACATTTGATCATAAATTCTACTTAAGTGAGCTTTAAAGCAGGTTTCTACTACCGACTACATGACAAGCTAAACAAACTGCACCAAAATGAAGACTGACAGCATGTGAGGGAAAATGCTTCTTTCCTTTAAAACAGCCAAATTCTGCCTCTACCAAAACAAATATTGAGGCTAGCTGAGTACAAGAGGTTCTAGGCAAGCTACTATTAAAGCTGCACCGCTAAGTCTACAAGTACAACTTCCCTGGCCAGTCTTTCATATCTTTCTGGGAGGGGCCTGAGGGGCTGGCTAACGACTGTTTTCTGGAGCTGGCCCAAAACCTTTTCAGCACTAGTTGGGTTTATACCCCACATGACAAACACGACCACCCAGCGGGCCCAGCGACCTTTACAGCAAGCCGTTTCAGTCCGTTAGCCAGCATCAGATCCTCATGCTGCGGCACCTCGTGAGTGACATGGGATTTAACTGAACCCCACCGCCGCCACCATCACCACCTCCTCTACCTCTGCTGGAACAATAAAAGCTTGGTACTGTAACAGGGAAGGAAATATGACTCCCCGTGGATTCTTTCCTGCTGTTATTCCTGCTACTACTTCACATAAATTCATACCCGAAATAAAGACTGATGAAATGACAAAGGAAAACCATGGCTAACAGCTCACATCCTCTATCCGAAAGGATCGAGGACTGAATGTGTGGGTCTAAAAGAAAGACAGCGCTGTAGACAGTTTCATCGAGTTAATTCCCAACACTCCACAATCTGAACTTCTGAACTCACACTGATTCAAGGTCAGAGTTAAAAACCACAAAGGACTCATCACACAGAATCCCTTAAACTCACAGTCTTCTTGTCCCAGGTCGACTTCAAAGCTCGTGGGACAGATCTACAGCGGCCCTAAACTAACATCTCACTGGCCTTGGGTCAGAAATTAAACACAAGCCAAAAGAGGAGCTACAGTGTGACTTGGGTCGGTGGCTGGAAGTTTATTTTTCTTTAGAGCCACATGACTCTTGCAATCAAAACATCCGTTTATATACAGTAGCTGCACATGCACACTTTCAAGCATAAACACAAGGACATTCTTCTGATGGTCACTCACTATTGTATGTTGTGCTAAAATGTCCTATACAATCACGTTTACTTGCACTTTTTTCTCCCACAGCAGCAGAAAAAAAGACGCTTGTGTACATCCATGTTTTATCTACAGCCTCCACAACATTTCTGATCTTAAGTATAAAATGGCTTAGAGAACATCCTTCCATGCTTTTTAAAT